TTTAGCAGAAAGCCTCCAGATTTTGTCACAACATTTCAGGTAACTGAAAAGGCACTTTTACAATGGCTAACACTTAGCTAAGGCTATCCTGCTCCTCCTGTGAGAGTTCTCCCTTGAGCAGTATGCTTTCTGGAAACAGTCTGTTTTCATGACAGCCATTAAACAAACTCAATCATTTTCTTCTGAATTTTTGGGGAAAAAAAAAGACTCTTGGGATACAAATTCAGGATCTGACTCTGCAGACACAGCTTAACTGCTGCATGGAAAAGCAAGTCAAATTCTGTTCCTTATTATATCTCTGCAACAACACAAGTGTCCAAAACCTTTCTCGATTTTGTTGAGATGCAGCCAGTCCATATGACATTTTACAGTATAATGCTGCAACACTGTGATGGCTTCATTTTTATTTCTGTGTAGTCCAGTGCAACAGAAGTATTTCCAAGTCAAGTACCACTTACAAATTAAGCAAGCAAAGAAATTTTTGTTCTATTCTGATTAATTAATTAGGCTGTTGCTAGCATGATTCTAGTAGCGATCCAACAGCAAAAAAGACAATTTGAGCACTGAGATGATGTGGGAATCGGTTTAGCAACACAGCAACATGGGATAGTATTGTAAAACTTTGGTAAATTGTATTCAAAACTCACTTTACATTTGCTGTGCATATTTCAGCCTTAAAGAAATATTTGCATTTAAAGCAAGGGTTTATCACTGTGAAATAATTTGGAACATCTTTTGAAGGTTCTCAACATGTTTTGCCTTCTATGGCCACAGAACACTAGATGGCACTGTGTGGCTTTGTGTCGTACACAAAAATGACAGTAGCAAAAGTCTCTCAATGCATGAAAGAATTCCCATCTTTCAAAACTATTTATAATATTTTTTTATTATGAAAACAATTAGAATGTGTAAAAGCTCCATTTTTTACACTGTGAATGCATTGCAGACCTTCGTTTTCCTGTATTATGATTACCCAGGAAACACTTCTTAATTGCTTAAACTGCTCAGATGACTTTTTTTCATCTACTGTGAAGTTCTCCAATTGATTAAGCTACCAAAAGGGAGAATTTTCAGTTCCTGGTATCGTCAGCACTCATTACTGTAGTAATATAATGGAAGAAACACTGTTCTTTGCTATCCCCTCAAATAACCTTTCTCACCATGCCAAAGCTTTGATGGGAACAGACATTTTTAATGGTAAACTAAAGTATAAAGTGTTAGATAAAACAGCAATAACCTTATTCCCATATTTTGAGCTGGAGGCATCTCAGAGAACCAAGGCAAAATTGTGATTTTGTCAGTATTTCCTTGGTTTTGGATGACTTCAAACAAAATACTTGCAGAAGCCTTCATTTTACACACATATTCTGGAGTCCAATCCTGCACAGCATCTTGAAGAAGAAAATCTAGTGTGTTATGATCATGTGGTTAGATCATATGTAGTGCGTTGTTCCTTTTCCTTCACCTGTCCAATGTCTGTTGTGACAGCTTTGGGTCTCCCTCTTCCCCAGTCAGTACGAGTCACTTCTCATGAAGATAAAACAGACTCCCAGCTCAGAGCTGGGTTCTGTTACTGCCACTGACCTCTTGGTGGCTCTAGGTCAGTGGCTTTCCTCTGCTTCTTAGTTCCTGTGTCTTTAAAATGCAGAACAATTGGATGGATGGTAACAGGGAATTATTATTGTGTATATTCCTATGCTCATTTTAGTTAGGGTTAATGAAATATGGTTATTAAAAATGATTGCAAGGTCGCTTTCAGGTATGCCTGAGAGCTTTTGAACAGGAGTTACTGTTATTACAGTGAAATAAAACAAGTATCACCAGTCAATCATAAAAGATGTTTCCTGAGGTTTGAACTTATCGCAGTCTTGCAATAATTGCCAATAAGATCAGAATCCAAACTAGCCACAGAGCTGCCTCTTTTCTGTTACAAAGCAACCAGTCTCTTAAAACAAGTAAGTATAAATTATAAACAGATGCTAACCCCAGATTATATACCCACTATGTTAGAAGCCAGGGACCCCTGTTTCTGACAGGGGATGAGCGTGTGTCCTCCCTGCTGGGTTAGGGCACCGTGAGGCTACCTGCTGCGCCCCACCAGGTCACTCAGAGGCGAAGCTGCTTTCTGCATGGGAATGGGTCCTGCCCACCCTGCCTGCAGCCAGCCTACAAACCTGCCAGCGTTGCATTATCATTTGGGTTGGAGGACAGTCAGGGCCACGGGGATGCTCTGGAAGCAGCAGCTGTATTGTGAGATTATCTCAATGATTAGAGCTCCTTCCAGAACTCTTGCCCTGCACCTTTCCCATTGGCAAACCAGAACAGAGGACCCTAAACTAAAAGCATTAATTCTGAGGAGGTGTCCATGCCTCAGGAGTCTCAGCTCATGAGGGAAGCTGTTTGGAACGTCCTTTTCACATTAGATTGTTCTGATAGATGTAAAATTAAGTGTTCTCCAATCTCCTAAATAGCTGTATTTTCAACGAGAAAATGGCCAACGAGTAGCCAAAGCCCCTCACAGAAACAGGACATCCTGAGCTGTGGCAGATGGGCTTCCTCTGCACGGTTCCAATGGAAGGTTTCAACAATAGCACCATGAGTGCCTGTGTGGGTATGTGATGTGGGAGTCTTGCACGGGGCAACACAGGCTTCTGAAAATAACATAAAGCATACTATGAGATGTGTATGTTTTGCTGGAAGAAATGTCGTGCGTGAAAAAAAAATTACTCTGCTGTAGAATAGGCAGGATTAAGTAGAGAGAAAATTTCAAGATGTGACTGGCCACGGTTGAAGGTGCTAGAGCGTGTGTTCTGTAAAATAGCCTTGGAACATAAAATCGAATGAAAAGTAAACTTAACTAATATATCAATGAATGCTCTATAAACAATTTGTGATACTAAATGTAAATTCTGAGGGAGCAAAGGTACAATAATCTGAATGGGATGATTATGCCTTCGATTTGTAGTTTCCTAAATATATAGCAAGAATAGTGTAAGACACAGGTAGCATGTTGTGAAATGTAACTGGCGAGAATGGTGGGGGGAGGAAGAAATGGCAGTTAATGCAGCTTTTCAAAAGTTTGTGCTTGCATTCTGTGCTTGGGCTCCAGTTCAGGAGTTGTAATTCCTTAACAGTAGCTGTGCCTGGCCATCCTTGCATGAGACGCACTGAGCCGTGTGGCTGTGAAGGAGGGAGCTTTCCAGGAGCATTTAATCAGCTTGGGCAGCAAAACTGTGACACCCAAAACACACAAATATCTGGACTTAGGTCAGTAGATGCTCAAAGTGATACTTCTCCCACTTTCTGCATAATAGTCACAGCTTAGAAGCATTCAGGAGTTTTTTTTTTTTTTTTTAATTTTTTTTTATTCCATCCTTCAGTCGGTTCCAGATGGTTTGGCCTTGTTGCTTTCATGGAGGAGCCACAATTCAGATCCCAATAACCTCTTGGGCCAGCACGCGCCTCTTGGGCGAAGCTGGTAGCTGCTGCCCAGGTGCTGAGGCAACGGGGCTGGCTTGCTGCTAGGCTGCCATGTCCTTGTGCACTTTATTCTGCCATAACTCAAATTTGATTCTGAGGATCAGCTCATGCTTCATCTCTGGATGATGTTTTGCAGAACTGCTGCAGGTGAACACTGAAGAAATTAAAACCTTTTTATGCTAAGGTCAAACTTTAAGGGGTCATCCCAACGCCCACTGATACACCACTGATATGTCAGTATTTATGGGAACAAAATTAAATTGCTAGTGTCCTCCTGGCATCTTTTCAGCCTGCAGTTGATAAAGCTCCAGTGAGCAAATCATATCACTGAGATCAATATGTTTTTAATTTTCATTTGCATTTTTGTTAATAAATAACAGAATGACTTACAATGAGACTCTCTTTATCCTTTTAGAATGAGTGTTATAATATATTTTATTTTACCTAGTAATATTTCAGAATACCTTACAAAATGTGTGTAAACTCTCTCCTGTTTAGTGTATAGATTCACAAGAGCTATTTTCCCCTCTTCATAGCTGAAGGAAAGCACATAACCTTGTCTGAGAATCTTATGGTCAAAAGAGAATTGAGAAAAGTAGAATGTAATTACTTCAACTGGACTTTGGCCAGAACCTACCCACTTATGATCAGACCTCATTTCCTGAAATTAATTGAGATCATTCTGTACCTATATTGACCCCAAATCAATATGAAAGCCAAGACTGAGTTGGACGTATCAGTTGAAACACAGACACCCCAAAGCAGCAGTCCGTGGGATTTGAGGAATCACATCTCTGCATTTTTTATTTATATGGCAAACAGGTTGGCCTTTCAATCCACCCTGGTTAAGTTTCATGCTTGTGCT